TGCTTGCTCTTATCAGTTATCGCACTTTACATATCCGTATCTGTGTGTACAAGACGCATTCTTGATAATTTCCACTGTCGCCTAAATACGATCCACACGGCAGCAGAAGCAGCTTCAATGTCTGGTGTGGATCGTAAGCCTCGGCACGCCCGAACCGAAGGCGAAAACGTAGATGCAGAGAGTAGATGACCAACAACAACAAACTACTGTCATACTGGCGAACGCGGAGACACAGAGAGGGAGAGAGACAGCGAGACAACGATGAAGCCCCACACGTTGGGGGCAAAAGCTATTTTTGTTGTTCCCCCCCTCCGTACCCTTCTCTATTTATCGCTGTATCTTGCTGCTGCTGTTGCTTCTGCTAGTTACCTCGTTTACGTTGTTTTTAAAGCGTTACTTGTTCCCACACACACACATACACGAACACATACTAGCTTTCCGCTGTTGCTGTATCTCTCTCTCTCTCTCTCGCTCTCTCTCTCTGTCGCAGCACTGTATGTGTTTCTGTGTGTAGGAATTTGTTCATATTTCATTTTCATTCCGCTTTCGTTCTTTTAGCTTGCTCTCTGACTCTTGCTTTTGCTCTTGCTCTCTCTCTTGCTTGTTGCACCATGCCACTTTTTTATACTTTATAATTAAATTAACTTATCATCCCAATTGGCTTTTCTTATTGAATCTGCGGCAATGAAGTGGCTGTAAAGCTACTTTCTAGCTGAATATACTCATTCCTCTGGAATTGTTGCTTGTTATTGCCCTGTTGGTTTTTTTGCTCTGCTCTAATCTCTTTCTCTCTCGCACACACGAACGCACACACACACACTGGCATACATTTAAAATTTATAAATTAAACACTATTTAACCGAATTTATTTTTAAACAAGTCCGCACGTGCGTGTGTGTATTTGTGACGGCCCACCCTCAATCCCACCCTCTCCTGGCCGCTGTCCTGTTGCCCTTGATGTCATTTCAAGCCCCTGTCCGGCACAGTCGTAATACCTATTGTAGTTATGTATATATGTATGTAGCTCTACCGCGGATGCTGTCGGATTACTCTTGCCACTTGGGGGAGATCGCTGACTAACTGCGCAGCCACTAACCGGAGAGCGCAGGCTGCTGCGTTTCGTTTTTATTTTTTGCAATATTTTTTTGACGTAACGCCCGCCGTTACCCTTGTGCTCGGCGCGATAACAGTCACAATGGCAAACGCGTAGAGTCGAATAATATAATGCAAAAAAGTTCCAGTCAAATCATCGCTGGGCGATAACCACAACGATATCGTCGGATCGTCGTCGGGGAAGGCAGCGACGATACGCGACGGATAATAACAACAAAGACGACGCGGCGCGGCGCGACAACAGTGACCACACGATTGAAGTGGAACTTAATACTAAAACAAGCTTTCGACCATCGCTTGTATCTGTGGCCTGGCCTGTGGTTGTGGAGGCGACTCGACTGTCTGTTGCTCGTACTGTTATTATTGTGGCGAGCTTCGGGCTTGTTTGTGTTTCGCAAAAGTTCTGCAGCGGGGCTTACTCAGAGCGGCTGTTCGTTCGTCCAATGTGCAAAGACAGCCACGACACACCCTACACATACACACACGCACAGTCTTCGGAGACGGACGCAGGTAAACTGCAGGTGATTCACAACGCAAACGTGTGTGTCGCATGCTCACGCATACACTGCTATTAATGCGAGTATAAGATATTCGTAGCAGAGATAGAGAAAGAGAGAGAGAGTGATAGCGAAACCAAGAGAGAGGAAGCTTTGGCATGCTTCACACGGATCTTCAGCATAAGTTTGGCTTGGCTTCCATACAAGAGCGGATTGGAACTTGCGAAAGCTTTGTTGCAATCGAACAATGTGAATGCCAAAGGAACGGATAGATTCTAGTTTTTCACGAACCGAACCCACACCACCTATCGCGTATCGTCATCGAAAAAGTCAGCTTGTTAAGCTTATTTATTCGCATGTATCTACGTATGTATGTATGTGTTGTGTGTGGTCGTGTTGGATAAAGCACATCAAATGGATATCAAAACAGTTACAAGTTTGTGCTACTCTCTGAGAGTGCCGTAGATCGAAGTGTAAGAAGCTTTGCCTTCGATACAGCTGACGATTTGAATACAACAAATGTGGTTCTTGAATGGACGAGGTGTGCATTTTTTTTATTGACTCACTTGTTATATTTTCCGAGTATGCCATTGCGAATCTAACTCAAAGTGGTTTAAAGATTGTTTGCTCTGCGATTTAATTTGCAATTAGCAAGTCTACATATTGTACAAACAATCTTTTATATATGGGTATTTATTATCTTATGTACATATGTCTATTTACAGCTGCGGCTCCAGCTGGCTATTGATCTCACAGTTGCCTTTCCATTAGCAGCGAGGGAACCTACACCCTGCACCTTCGTAAATATTTTTAATCTTTTCAAACTTTCAATTTGAAACGTAAAGAGGTTCTACTGCAGTTGCTCAACACTATTGGATATTAACCAACACTGTTCTTAATTTTTTGAATTTGAAGCCAGTTTTTTGTATTTCGGTTCACATTTAATTATTCCAAACACTTTTCTGTTTAATTTTTAATCCTTCCCAGCACTGTCAGTTGGTACTAAATTCTCAATACTCTAATATTATATAGTTGTCAAGAAACAGTGAAAATAATCCCAGTGCATTTTAAATTCCCATTTCCCAGTATTTTAATTTTGAAGAGCTTGTTAATGCAGCTGAAATATGATTATAGGACACCAGAGAACATATACGAGTACTATTTGGTAATGAGTTCACAAGGGCCTCCCACAATGGACCCGTACAGCAGACAGTTTCTCCCAATCTGTGCCGAATGTTCCATGATACATTCACAAATGATTAAATCCGACAAACCCAATAGATTGTTCTACTCATACAAGTAGGTAAGATATATTCCGCCTCCCAACGAGAGTACAGGACATTTGACTTGTAATAAGTCAATTAGACACTACAGGGAATGACCCAAGCCAACGATACTCTGAGTAACAGGGAGAAGGTCGAACGAGTAGATGGATTCTGGATGCTAGTGAACATGTGTAGTTCTGGACGGGTAACAGATACAGCTAAAGCCACAGAAAGATACGCAGATCAATTGGGGACGGGACTCACCTTGGCGGATGCGGTTCGCTGCTTGATGGCAGAGGCGTGAGCAGAGTGTGTGCTGAGAACGTTCTTGTTGACGGAGGAAGGCACGGCCGAACCCACGCCGGTGCCTGAGTTGTGGTGGTGGTGGTGGTTGATCGCGGAGGCCGCCACAGTGGCGTTATTGCTTGAGAGTCTGGCACCGTCCGTAGTCATGTTGTTGGCCACGTGATGGTGGTGCTGATGGCTGTGCTGGTGCGAGTGGTTTGTATTTGCCGTGGTCGATACAGCGGAGACCGACACAGGCACGGGAGCTGGCGTGGATGTCACCGAGCCTGGTGCGGGGCTGGCCGGGACTGTGGGCGTGGGCGCAGCCGCAGGGCTGTTGCTGCTTGCCGCATTCGAGGACGTTACGATGGGCATCACCGTCGTGCTGGCTACAGAGGTTGTCGTTGGTGGCAGTGAAACAATGTTGGCATTGGCGGAATCATGCTGTTGCTGTTGCTGCTGATCCTTGACAGAATGCGATGATGTGCTGATCGAGTTGGTGGCGTAGGTGGTTGTGCTTGAGACGGCCGCCAGGGGAGGCGTCGCAGTGGCACTCGACGTGGTGGTCGATGGCGCGGCAACGGTGCTTGCGGTTCCATTTGAAACGCTCTCGGCTGGCAGGGCTTCAGGAACTGGCTGCAGTGTGGTTCGCATTGCTGTAGACATATTTCTACCAAATCCAAATTGCCTATGGCTCAGTAATGAGTAATCTTGAGGTCCGTGCAGGTCCTGCTGGGTTTGGTACGTCCACAACGATCGTGAGATTCAATCGGGCGTCTCGTCTCGTCTCTCCTGCCCCTACCTCGGAACTGCACTTGAGTACTTGCCGGTGAGTCTATATTGTTTCTCCTCCTAAAGTTATCCTAATGCCAGGCGGTTCCTGTCATCCGTGGAGCTACTTAACATCTGCAAATACAGTGGGGATACAAAAATACATTAACTTCATTGCAAATCAAAGTTAGGCTTATAACAATCCATTATTGATTGCACATATCTTCACCGAAATGAATACCTATAAACTATTTGAAAACTCGGACTATACATTTATATGCACTTGAATCCCTTACATATTATAATTAGCCTAATTCTACACATAATTTACGTTTTCCTTGGCCACTGCGGAAATAGGGGACATTTTAAAGTGCCATTCGATGTATTTATCGAGCAAGTCGGAATAGTCCATTTCGGACATTCGATATTGTATCTCAACAATTGTTATTATGTTTAGATATTTAATTCTAAAAAATGTAGTAAGTTGTTTTTTAAATATGAAAATTATGGTATTCATTAAATAAGATTTCGTCTGTATTTCATTAACTAAAAAATAGCCAACTAAAAATTATCCGTCTACCGAAATATAGATATTCTCTTGTTACAGTTTTGCCAATTTGTTATTCAATAATCAACATCAAAATCCACTTCTCGTTCTGGAATGCCATTTTTATGATTATCTTTATAAAGAAATTAATCTTTAAAATTATTTTACAGTTTTTTTTATTATTGAAAAAGAATTATTAATTTACTAAGAATTAATGGAAATTTCTGTTGATTATTTATATTTACAGAGTTTCCATTGAGTTTTCTTTTAAGTTTGTGCCATTTTTGAATTTCTGTTTTGGAAGTCTGCCATATTTGTTTTTACAAAAACTAATATTGAATTGAACTAATAAATCTGTAGTAGATACAGCTACAAGTTCAGTAATTAAGTGATATAGATGTGTAGATATATGAAGAAATTAATATGGTTTGAATGTAGTTATTCTTTGCCTTTCAGACCTCTGCAAATTTTAAAGAATATTCGTATACATTTTCAATGCATTTTAAACGAGCTTTGCAGAGAGGTCTCTCGAGGAGTCTATAGAAATAAATTCCGATTTATTTTGTTCGGAATGTAGTCGGTGGACAGGAAGTCAATGACACTCTCGATTTCGGCCTTCTGCTGAATCTGCTGTAGCGAACGCAGCTCCTGTCGTACTCCAGGGCCAATGTAGTCGCGGGCGAGTATGTCATCGATTTTCTTGTTATCCCCACTGCTAAGGGCAACCGCACCGCTGGAGAGGGCCGGTATCTCGGAGGGGTGGAGGCCAATCCACCGTAGCGTAGGCGTGGCGAGGTCTCCCGATGTGAAGCTCATGGACTGCGACCCGAGGCGATAGACGAGCATTATCTCAATGCCGAACGGATCGGCGTCGACGAGTATGTAGGCCGGCAAGTGGCACTCTGTGGATAGCCGGTGCAGGATGCGCCGCGTGCTGCAGTCCGGGTAGCCCTTGCCGGTCACCAGGATGCAGCGGCGACCGAAGGTGCCGAACAGATCGCGTGCCAGCAGGCTCTCGAAGACAGACTCCTTTTCGACGACCAGCACAAAGTCCGCCTGGGTGACAATGCGTTCCACCTTCTCGGTGTCCGTGGGCAATATGATAGCACCGCTATATACGTTGCAGTCCAAGACATCTCCGTTGGTCATGAGCATCCGTATGTCGCCTGCAAGAGATCAAGAAAAGATCAGCATGAGCAGAGCGGATCGCCTAGCTACCACGACTCACCTGTCATTAGACCCTTGGAGGCGGAGAGCACTCCCAAGCGAATAGGCGACGTGTTCAGCATATGACAGACGTCCAGTCTGGCTGCGGCAATGTGCCGCTGAGTTCGTATCAGCTGGGGATCGCTGTAGTAGAGCCCCCGAACGGTGTAGCTGCCGCCGTTCACCTGCAGCCGGTGAATCTTGGCCAGCATGTACACCACCAGACAGAAGCGATGGCGGCTCCGTCGATTGTTATACGACACTCGGCGATATCCGTTTGCGTTCCCAGAATCTCTCGATACCGGACCCATTCGGGGTACCATGAACGTGGCATCACCGTGCAGCACCAAGCTGGCCAAAAGTTGCACCACAATCCCCTCAACATCGCCGCTCATTTCCTGCTCTCAATGAACTTATCCTCAATGGTGGATCTTTAATCTTAGATATTATCTTAACGTGAATTGTGAGGTGAACTTTGACTTGTTACCTCGCTCAAACATGAATTAAAATCTAAGGAACTTACACAAAATTGGTTCAAAGATGGCACTCAATTACTTTCCTTATTTACATTTAACTATTGTTTAATCTTAATATTAATAACTTTTTTCGATGGTTTACACTTGTATTCATGTGTTAACTTTGATACACTTGGCTCAAAACTGGTTTTCCTTGTTCTTTGCAGACTTTTCGTCTCTTCTTTTTGGAAATGGTACTTGTTTTTTTTTTGGATAAATAGATGGATTTACAATCGAAACAGCTGTGTCTTTTTTCCTGGCCACGCCCCCGTATCTGAATACGGAGAATTTAAGGGTCAATCAATTATTTATCCCATCAATTCGGGGTTTTTTCAATAGTCGGAACAATGGTTGTGGGATAAGCAGGATGGGGTCGGGTCGGGTCGTCACACGCCCACCCGATATACATTGGTACATACATATGTATATATATATCTGACGTACATACGTAAGCAAGTATATAGAAACGTCAGTAGATATAGTAGATATGTGCATATGTAAACTTACATTTCCCCAATGGGTTTCGTTTTGGGAACACTTATGCTTTGTAAGCGTTTATCGCGTAAATCATTGCGTGGAAACGTTCGAGTGGGTTATAAATAATTTAAGTACGGGAGCTTGGGGTCTAAAAATACAAGCACCGAAAATTCCCTTTCTGCCAAACAACTGTTTTTTAAAAATTAACGCAAAACACTCGCACCGCTCACACGCACGCACACGTACACGTACACAGAGATGGACACGGAGGGAGACACTTGTACATAAATTAATGTGAATTTCTTTCTTTATTCGGTCTTTCTTTTTTTCGTATGTGCAGAAAATTGTACTCGTTGTTACAGAGCACACACACACACATACACTCACAAACACACAGCAGCGCTTTTATAGCTGGGCGGAAGCGGGGGCGGTGTTGCTGGCGGACAAGGCGGGGGCTGGTACTGCCAACGAATGGGAAAGAAAAACTAACGAAACGGAATGGCAGCCCCTTAAAGTATTGATTTGCTGGCGCTGGCTGCCCCGACTCGCCATCCCATCCGTCCGACTGCGCGGAGCAGAGCGGCGCGGCGCTGAGCGGTGAGGCGCTCTCTTCTTATACTTACCAATAAAATGAAATTTCCGATCGGACCGAGGCGAAGAAGTGTTTAGGCGTTTGCTGCTGCTGCTCTCTTTTGGTGTTTCGGGGAGTCAGGCACAGTGCTTTATCAGCGCAGACTCTTTCCATCGATGTAACACATTATTATTATTTAATTTTTCTCCTTTCTTTTCCTTTCCGATTTTCACGCACAAAGTGGTTTCGGTGGAAAGGCCGACTTTTACCGAACAGAGTCGAAAGAGACGACAACGGACACACACAACGAAATGCAAATGCAATACATATCTTTCTCACTCGCTCACACACTCACTCGCTCGCTCGCAGCAGCAGTAGCGCTGGCTCTGGTTTTCAATCAGATTTTTCTCTTTCTATTTATTGCCTTTTGTTATTACGATATCACCGAGACGGTCTCCGAATTTTCACAAAATTACAGCGATTGACACCACTCTTGTTGGCCACGAATTTTATTCTGCTCTGCCCTTCGTGGGCTATGTATGTACATATCCAAAATGATGTGATGGGTAACTTGATATTGGGAATTGGGTGACAGTTTTTTTTGTCAACTGCGCTAGGGGACAAAAGTGCTAATCGCCGATTGTCCGACACACACACAATGCTGTTAAATATTACTATTTTTTTTATAAGCACATTCACTTTGGCAGCAACAAATTATAGGTGTCAAACCATCGATGGCACTATCGATAGTATCGATGTTTTGGTGCTAGTTGATACTATCGATGGTTTTGCTACTTTTCATGATACTATTGAGCTCTTATCGGTCGCTTCCCCATCTCTGATTTGATTTTGAAAAGTGCAGTGGGGTCAACCGAAAAACTTGAAGATCCCTTTATTCATTCAGAAACATAGCCAACTCACTGCGAAATGTTCTGGGTGTTATTGTAACTGACAATGCGAGTTCGACAATGGTTAAGGCATGTCACATTCTTCAGACTGCTTGAGCCAAGAAAATTTGAAGTTAGGGCTTTTGAAAGTAGCACGATCGCATAAATAGATCAATGCTCACCTGTTGGCAGGTAGGTCTGCTTTTTTTGCTAGAGAAATAAAAAAAAGGCTTTTGATATTTTAAGATCGCTCAGCAATGCCACCATCCCCGATATACAAAATAAGGATTTCGTTCGCAGTTCTATGCAGATCAAGCTGCCGTTTTACTGGAAATCATGTTCGCTACTTCCAAGAAATTTAAAGAAGCCCTGCACTATCGATAGTATCAATTTTTTTAATCATTCTATTCAACACTATCGAGTGGCGAATTCAAGTTCTATGTTACATAATCCTCGTTTTTGATTTTCCGTGGAATATTACTAGCAAGAAAGATCACTCAGACCTGCCCACATAATTTTATACGATTGCTGAATTAATTTTCTACTTAACTGACTTATTCTAAATACTTGCTTTTATTCATACCATCTTTCCTCTGAACTTAAAAAATGTATTCGGTGGAATATTAAAATACCCCGTTGATCTACAATGGGTTAATCGTTCTCCATCAAGGATTGGAAACCAGATTCCTCGATTTTGATATTCTGTGGAATATACATGCTAGATAAATCTTTCAGCCCTGCCCACATAGTTTTATCCAATTAATGAGATTATTTTCTATTTGACTGGTTTATTTTAAATACTTGCTTTTATTGTATTTAGTCTAAAAAAACAAATGAAACGTAAGGGAAATTGCTCATTGTTGCCTACCGGTTCAAAGAGAACCTTACCCGATTCAAGTTCGGCCATCGATACTATCGACTGAATAGAAGTAGTGCGCGACAAAGATACATTTTTGGAAAGTGAAGGATTGACAAGGATATGAATGCAAATTAAAAAGATTAATGACTCATAAATAACCTTCAACTCAATTTCGATGTCAAAATATATGGAACAGAATACCGTAAATGATGCAACCACCAATTAGGGATGGGTTGTATTGATACAATACATCGATATATGCCGCGATGTGCTGATAATATATTTGTCGGTGATATTTTTGTGCGATTAGAGGAACTTATTCGTAGATTTTTTTACATTTTGCAGTGACCAGACGTGTTTTTGCTTTGCCCTCCGTTTTACTTAAAATGCCGGTGTTTTTTTCCCAATTAACCCTCCTTAAACTACCGAATCACCCTGCCATCATAAAATCTATCCTACACCGCCAGTTAAGTTCTCCCCATCACCCAGGGATGGCAGCTCTTCGATTTAGTTCGCGCCCACCTTTCATTTCGAATTTAAGCACAATACCGAATTTAGGTTTATATTAAATGCAAGTGGAACTAAGATCACATTTCGTCGACATACTTATAGAACATTTTCCCGTTTAATGGATGACCAGCCTGGTGTTCTTTGAGTTAGGAATATATCTCTTCTTGTACTTTTCGAACATCTTTTCCAGATCCTCCATGACCTGGCCATGCACCTTGTCCACATAGGCGGCATCAGGCTGATCACTTTTCACCACATTGATGGGGGCGCCCACTGCGTAAATTCAATACATTAGTTCAAGCATTCCCCTACAATTGAATCCCACTTGATACTCACCAACTTGTACGATGCGACGTCTATTTGGCAGGAAGCCAAAGGAATAGTTGAAGATGCCACGACCCACTGGAATCAGAGGCGATATACCCGTAAGCTGTTTCACCGCAGTCTGCACTCGGCGGACCAGGGAATTCGGGGGATTGGGCACCTGATCGAATATATCCACCTCCCCAAAGGAAAACGTCGGAACGATCGGTGATCTGCATTAAAATGGAGGTAGCATAGTTCCATATTTAAGCATGCACTTCCTACATTTACTCACCCCGTTCGTATGGCCATTTTGACGAATCCCTTGCGGTTCTTTAGGGTCACAATGTATTGCCCTGGATGCGAGTCCATGGCCTCTTGGGCGCCACCCACAAGTATGGCCACCGCATTGGATGTGAAGCCATCGCGATTGTCCACATGCTTCGGATCATTCGATTTGGTTAACAAATAGTTAAGGGAGGCTTTCGACACCGACACCAGGCCCCAAGAGCGCAGCACCTCACGTCCAATAGGTATCAGGAAGTTCTGATCCAGAGTGCCCACCTTCGGTCGGATCTTAGGGAACAGTTCGAGCCACCGTGAGATATCCAGGCCCATGTTGATGCCGATTCCATTTCTATTTTGATCAGTACATATTTATTGTATGTATGCATAGTGCGTTTCGTCACTGGAGTGGTTCGATAAGATTGGCTATCTGTCGACATTCTTACCCGAGTATGCCGTGCGGAAAGCTAGCCAAGATATAGTTTTTGTTTGGTGGCAGCTCGGCTGTTTTCACCAGTTCCACGGGAAAGTAGTTGCGATAGTGCCGATACAGGCGATTAGAGCGGTTCAACAGCCAGCTAAGGGAGGTTTTCAATGGGATTATTGTATCTTAAACGGCTGTTGTGGACGATCGACACTTACCCATTTCCATCTATTACAGAATTGTTTCGCTTGTGATCGTAGAGTATGTAGACCAAGTAGACGAGTATCAAGCTACGCAAAATGAGACCACCATAGATCTGAATGGAGTGGTTTCAGATAATTATCTAAACAATGATAGCTATGACAACGAAAAAAACATCTATTGCCTTACCAGCGAAGCCACGATAATCGGAATGGCAGTTATTGACAGAATGAAGCACGTGAACGTGATCAAAAGCGTGACTAGGGTCTGCAGACGCCGGCGCGGCGGGACTTTGAGAGGAGCCCATTCAATTTTCATATTTTCCGCTACGGATCGGACCGACCACAATCAACCTTTTCAACGGCTCTCCAGCGACTGAATGAGAGCTCAGTGGCGACAAGCGATTTCAATTGGACACTCGAACTTATCCTTATCAGGGGCGGTCGAATTCGGGGCCCCCAGCTGTTAACAAGTTAATAATAGATTAAAAACTTATTAGCACTTACTCGGGTACTCGTCTCGGTCTGTCCGTCTTTCTAAATCCCATTAACTAAGCTAAGATTTTTGCTATCATTGGTGTATCCAATCCCTTAAAGAACCCCTTCCCTACCATTTGGTGTACCAATCAATGCATACGATCTATTAACGTGAAAGGCGTCGTTTCGAAGTGGCTGCAATAATCATCGTCTGGCAAATTATATGCTTGGGGTTCAAAGTGGACCCCCGATAAGAGTACGGGGCGATTGCGATTTCGATATGGGTTGGGTTCAGGCATATCTTTATCATTCTCCCCCTCTCGACCTTTAGATTAGTATTCATCACACTTCACGTCTTCAGTTCCATGCATTCTGTCATATGTATGTTACGAGTTTTGGATATACACATGTAACATATATACTCACACTTTAGTTTAAAGTAGTGCTGTAATTACAACCTGTTTTCCAATTTGCAATTTCACGGGGGCGCCACATAAAAGAAAATTGACTGAGAACTTGGCACGTGGAAAAGTTTGTATAATTCAATCACGGTCATTCATGTTCAACGTTAATTATGCCAACGATTCGCTCATTTATTGACCCCGTGCCAAGAATGTTCTCGCATTCGACGAACAAGCAGAACCGAAAACGCTGGCGCACAACTGGCAAATGCTGAATGTAGTGCACGATATGCGAGTCATTTAGATACTATATACTAATACTATATACTAGTATACTATACTATACAGAATGTGCGCTATAGGCTACAAAACACATGTAGGTATGCCAGAGCCATGGCAATATCCAGCCGAGATATAGCTAACATAATAATTGGTGACTTTCGATAGGTATACATAGGTATAGTTAGTTCAAGAATAAGTAAATATATGTATATAGGTAGGTATGTATTTATACTCGTAATAAATGCTTTTAAAGTAGATTGAAGATCACATTATTTCAAAGGAAAAATATCAATTAATGTTTCCAGGTTAATGTATAACCAGCTTGGTGTTCTTTGAATGCGGTATATATTGCTCCTTGTACTGATCGAATATCTTTTCCAGAGCCTCCATGACCTGGCCATGCACCTTGTCCACATAGGCGGCATCCGGTTGATCACTCTTTACCACATCGATGGGAGCGCCGACTGGAGGATTCAGATCATGGTTTAGGCCTTAAAGATCTTATTCTTGTATACATTTTACAGATACTCACCGACTTGAACGATGCGACGGCGTTGGGGCAGGAAGCCGAAGGTATAATTGAAGAAACCGCGACCGACTGGAATCAGCGGGGCAACGCCCGTCAATTTCTTCACCACAGACTGAACGCGACGGAGTAGGGAGTCCGGCGGATTAGCCACCTGATCGAATATGTCCACCTCCCCAAAGGAAAATGAGGGCACAATCGATGAACTGCATCAGGAACAAGGTTACTGTCGTATTTAAACAATATGCTACTTTCTTTATACACTCACCCTGTTCTTATGGCCATTTTGACGAATCCCTTGCGGCTCTTCAGGGTCAGTATATATTGGCCAGGATGCGAGTCCATGGCCTCTTGGGCGCCACCCACAAGTATGGCCACCGCATTGGATGTGAAGCCATCGCGATTGTCCGCATGCTTTGGGTCATTCGACTTAGTTAACATATGGATCAGGGCCTCTTTCGACACCGACACGAGCCCCCAGGCGCGCAGCACCTCCCGCATAAATGGCACAAGGAAGTGCTGATCTAAAGTGCCAACCTTGGGCCGAATCTGGGGGAACAGTTCCAGCCACTTGGAGATTTCCACTCCCATATTGATCCCGATTCCAGTTCTATTGCGGGAAATCAGTAGCGAATCGAATTTAGAATATTTATAGATAAGATTGTCCCTGTCAGGCGCTCTTACCCCAGTATGCCGTGAGGAAAGCTGGCTAAAATATAATTTCTGTTTGCGGGGAGCTCTGCGGTCTTCACTAGTTCCACGGGAAAGTAGTTGCGATAGCTCCGATACAGGGTATTGGTTCGGTTTAGCATCCATCTATGGTATTAGTATTAGGAATATGTACTGTTTATCCATTAGGATTATGGACTTACCCATTGCTGTCAATGATGGAGTGGGTTCTCTTGTGGTCCAAATACATATAGACCAAGTAGATCAGTATCAAGCTGCGCAGAATGAGTCCACCATAGATCTAGAATATAGATACTTCATATATACAATACTGACCCAAAGAGAGCTACATATGTATATGAAGGATTATCTCACCAGTGAACCGGCAACAAACAAGTAAGAAGAAAACAACAGCACGAAGAACGCCATGGTGAAGAGTGCCGTGATCATGGTCTGCAAACGCCGGGCCGGCGGAACTTTGAGAGGAGCCCATTCGATTTTCATGATTCCCGTTGTCCTATAAAACCACTCTGCGGTTGGTCTTCCTACTCGTCTTACGTCTAACAAGCTACTGAACGATTGCCGAAGCAAGCGTCAAACAATTTCCGAAGTATAACACTTATGATTATCGGTATTCGAGTTGATGGTGGCAACGACTATCCGTAATAGTTGCTAACAACCACATCCACCAACTGGTCAACAGTTCTTTGTTTGTTGGCAAAAATTCCGATTATGACGATAATAGGTTGGCTTTTAATCAGCGTTTAGGAAATCATATTTTATGGGTCAAAGTCTAGTATGGTACTATGCCAAAGCTGCTACCGAAATTCCCATAGTCTTCTCTATCATAGCCCCTTCTCGACCTTTAGAACAGCGAGTGCATATGATTCAAAGGTATTGGGTCGCAACATGCACTTGGGATTGTTGAAATCACATTATGTGGCGTCGATTGAGATTAGTGAATCATGTTCTGGATAGATTTTGATGGGAACTTCTTTAATATACATAGTTAAGATGCAACAAGTGGATTAGGGAACGTAATTTGATATACTTTTATAACTAAAATATATTAATAAAGAGCGAAACACCCGTGAATCTATGTAAAACATTTTGGCAATCCTATTTGCCAATTAAAATATCCGACGCATGCAGATACATTTTCAGGGAAAGTTTTTTATGATCGGATGTAGGTATTTTAAATTTAGGCGCCACTCCTGCGTTCACTGAGCTGCATTTGCTTAGGAATCGATATCATAAAAATGTAGTTCGAAAAATCATTTATCGAATTCTTCGAATTAGTTCAGTTCGAAATAACAGTTATTTGCCGCCAAAAAAAACTGTAATTTTATAAATAAAACATAAACGAGGTTCCTACTTTGAAATCCCACTGTTCTATAACTAAAGTCTGATATACTGGTAGAAAGGCCATAGAAACACTGCCGGAACGACAAAATAACATAACATGAAATAGTAAAAGGTAATGTATGCAATCAAGAGCAGAGATTCCTGGCACATTCCATCTATCTGCTTCTCCGCTGATTTGGGTGTGCGGGTGTACATATTCCGTTGCTCTATGGCGTCGATCAGTTGCCCAATCCCCAGTCATCGAAGAGAAACGCTCGAATTTTGCATTTCATTTTAAATGCATGGGACAGACATCGAAGCAGCACAAAACAAAATAGAATAAAATGTATTCCATTCTGCTATCCACCGCCTTTATCATTCGTTTTCGCTGCTCCCGCTGCTTCACTGCCGTCTCACTCTCGCGACTTCACTCTAGCTGGATAATCCGTGTGCGGCGGTTGAGATTTCGCCAATAATTAATTCCTTTATCAATTATAGATTGGGCAGAGTAATCCAGCATTAACTGAAGGGCCGCACGGCAATGGATTGATGTGCCAAAGTGCATAATAGAAAGTGCAATAACCGTTGCGTGAACTGCACGGAAAGAAAGCCTATTAAGCAGCTCGAAGAAACAAATAGTATATTGTGCATACACATACGTATACATCGTACAAAAAGAACTGAAAAAATCGAACAGGAATAACAAAATGATGATTTTCTATGTCAAATACGCGTTTCTCTTTTGGCTGACGATTGGCAGCAACCGAGGTGAACTGCTGCTGATGAGCCAGATCTCAGAGGACAAGACGCTCCTCACGGTGTCCGCCTGCACCCAGCGCTGCCTGGAAGAAACAAAGGTGAGCTGCCCCAGGGGATTACTGACACGCTAATCTATTCAATGACCTGGATGTCTTTTTGCAGAACTTTCTTGAGTGCTTCAAGATCTGCAGGGAGAACGAGGCCAGCGACTATGCTCCGGCAACGGTGCGCAGAATACAGGAGAACTACCAGCTGAAGATGGTATGTCGCACAGAGTCGATGCTGGCCTTCCGCATAGATTGGGTGCAGCACAGCAGGTTGGAGCTGGGCCAGACACCGAACGCCACGTACATCATCAAAGTGAATGCTGTCAGTGAGGACATTGTGGAGTCGAAGCTCTTTCTGGTGAGTGGAAGACGTATTGGCGTTCTTTGCTCAACGAATCGATTCCATTGCAGTCAGATGACAACTTCCTGGTCCTGCACTCACTGGAAGCCTACACTGAGCACAACATTACCGCTCTGGCTGTGCACAGCGATGGCAGCTACTCCGTGATAGCCAACGAGGAAACATTTGGCACCCTGAGGCGTGGCTATCAGCCCAGCAAGATGGGTGCCGTGAAGCTGCTTGGGTTTGTCCAGCCCCAGGAAGATGGGCAACATATTGCCGCCGAGATAGAGTGGCAGCCCTCTGCAGGTGGGTGCTTTTTATTTTCTCATCCGCCGCGTCACAATTGTTTGCTTCTCCAGACCGCAACTGTTTCTTCGATCTGGTGTATTATTCAACCGAAAGCGTGACAATGGATCAGCCTATGCAATTGGAGTTTCGCGATGTAAGTAGCAGGAATGCAGGCGAACCATATGCCTATGTCCCCATAATCACCATAACCTGCCGTCCACAGCCGCGTCGACTGTACAGACACACCATCGACAGCCTGAAGTTCGGGGAGCAGTACATGGTGGGCGTGCGGACGGTGAACTACTTAAACATGCTGGAGAGCGACCTGAAGTGGTTGGTAGTGCAGGCTCCAAATTGTCTGGACTGGCATCACTTTAACTACACGCTCTGCGGTAAGCATACCAACCCCCAGAAGTCGGTTAAGTATAGCCCACTTACCCTCTCCTCCGACAGCACCGACCAAACCGTCAAATCTATCCGTGACACAGGAGCAGTATTTAGAGAACACACTGGCACTGAATGTCAGCTGGCAGCGGCCCAGCCACCTGCCCGATTACTACACACTTCACATCCTCGACCTGCACCTGGAAAGCCAAGAGGCGAACTTCACTTTGGACGGGAATGCGAGCTACTGCTTCATTCCCATGATTAAGGTGCTGGGATCTAGCTTTGAGGTGCACTTAGTGGCCCATACGGCGGGCGGCAGGAATGCCTCTGGAGTGTTGCTGGACAAGGCGCCTCGCGACGAGTGGCTGAAGGGTGAGGAGTATTCAGGTCAAGCCGCAATCGTATAACTGATGGGATAACTTCACTTTGATAGAGGGAAATCTGATCAAGCTCTTGGTATTTGTCATTGTCCCCGTCTTCTGCATCATCATTCTGTGCTCACTGACGTTCTGCAAGCGCAATCGTCAGGACGCCCAGGCCGTGGACATGGAGTCGAAGGAGAAGGCCAATCAGAACAACTTCCATCTCTCACTGATAGACAGTAGCGGCCTGTTGGTCACTCTCTCGGCCAACGAGAGTTTTGACTTTGTTGATGAGCTGGAGGTGGAGCCGCAAACCGTGCTCCTGCTGGATGTGCTGGGCGAGGGTGCCTTTGGCCTGGTGCGACGCGGCGTGTACAAGAAGCGACAGGTGGCCGTCAAGCTGCTGAAAGGTGAGAAAGGGTGCTGAGCTCCTTTCCCGCCGAGAAATGATGTGCCTATCTTCCTGACAGATGAGCCCAACGAGGAGGATGTGTATGCGTTCAAGTGTGAGATCCAGATGCTTAAGGCGGTGGGCAAGCATCCCAACATCGTGGGCATCGTGGGCTACTCGACGAGGTACAGCAATCGCATGATGCTGCTCATCGAGTACTGCAGCCTCGGCAGTCTGCAAAACTTTCTGCGGTGAGTGGAATGGCATGCAAAGCTCTGTCCAAGTCTAATTTGCATTAACCCAGCGAGGAGTGGAAGTTTAGACAGGAGCGCAGTGCGATCCACTTGAAGCAGAAGCACGAGCAGGAATTCGAGAAGCGGAGAGTGCAACGTCCGAAACGTAGTCCTTCTCTTGATCTGGATCGGAACATACGCATCGAGGAGATCAACTGTTCCATGCTGTCCACCGTGGAGGAGGAGTCCGACACAGATCAGACGCGCACCAGCAACCGCGTGGAGACCTACTCTCTCGCAAGATTCACCAATGCAGCAGACAACAAGTCCTACGGACTCGATGACATTGAAAACATTGGAAGTAGCATGACCCTGCCACCATTTTCGAAAGAGTCGAAGATCCAGCAAGTCGATCCAGAGAAAGGGGAAGGGACAGCGACTAAGCGAACCTTCGAGAACAAGGAATACTTTGATTCGCGAGCAGACCCTAAGCTAAGTCCCCAACGAGCGCCACTCAAGTACGCGGATTTGTTGGACATCGCCCAGCAGGTCGCCGTCGGCATGGTGAGTGATTGGAACAGCTGTCTATTGGTGATCAAGTGGCGGTCAAAATATCCTATCTCTTGCATTTCAGGAGTTCCTGGCGCAGAACAAAGTGGTGCACCGCGACCTGGCAGCACGCAATGTCTTGATCTCCCTGGACCGTAGCATTAAGATAGCCGACTTTGGGTGAGTGTCCTTGAGGCGTAGTGTTCCCTTTTCAAGCCCTCTCTCTTGCAGGCTCAGTCGCGATGTTTACCACGAGAACGTCTATCGCAAGAGCGGAGTCAGCGGAAAGTTGCCCATCAAGTGGCTGGCCCTGGAGTCACTCACCCATCAGGTGTACACCAGTCAGAGCGATGTGTAAGCAGCCTTTTACAGCAGATCGTTTACTTTTCCGCTGATTCCTTACTTCTTTCAGTTGGTCCTTTGGTGTGCTGCTCTATGAGATTATGACCCTCGGCGGAATGCCCTATCCATCTGTATCGCCCGGCGACCTGCTCCAGATGCTGCGCCAGGGCCACCGCATGAAGCGGCCGGAGGGCTGCACACACGAAATGTATGTCTAAACACTAAACTCCATTGAATCTCCACTGCCAACTGGCTTTCGCCCACTTCTCTAGGTTCGGTCTGATGAAGAGCTGCTGGAGCTCGATACCCTCCCACAGACCCACATTCACCGGTCTCAAAGAGCGTCTGGGTGGGATGATTCTGGCCACCAACGAAATGCCGCTTCGCCTGCAGAAGCAAGCAGAAGCCAAGTCCAAGTCAAAGGCAGAAACACAGCCCGAGCCAGAGGCATGTGGCATCATGCACAGTAGCAAAGGGGTGCCGGAGCAGGAGCTGCCCAAGGATGCAGAGACTTACTTGGAGCCTTTGAACTAGTGGGATAACATCAGACGAAATGGAGGTCATTAAGCACGCAAATTAATGCGTTTAATGTGCAATATGATATGATATGAATCAAATTCAGACAACGCTGAGAAGCAGCTACGAGTAGATTACCTCTTATTTGAAATAAACATTGAAATCAGATTCAAGAGAACCTGAGGCTCCAACCATTGCTGTGCCATATCTGTCAACAGCTTTGCGGGCAAGTGCTCCTCGAAGCTAAATCAATTCTAATCATTCCCAAACGTTTGATTCGATTCTTCAATGGTGTGTAGATCTAATTGTTTGGGCCCCTTTGGACATTGATCGTTAAGCTCTTGAAAGCTATCAAAATTTGAAAAAAATCAGTACAAAAACCCCTTCAGACCTCTGCTTAATCCTAATATCAAGATCCTTCACGATGTGCAACTTCTGCAGCCAGCAAGAGAGCCCCTGTCCGCAGATTCCCTACGCTTGTCCGAACTGTCCGGTACGGGACATCACCAGGAGTTGTTCGCTGCAGCGGAGGACCATCAACCGAGAGCATCTACTGCCGGACAAGAACAGGCCATACCCGAACCAGTGCGACACGATGCCCGAGAAATGGCTGGAGCTGAACCGCAGGCTGATCGCCACGATGGCCGAGAAGATGCATCGCTCAACGCAGACCATCCACTACATGCTGCTGCGCCTGCTTCACGCCAACTACGCCGGTGTCTTGCAGATCGTTCGCAGGCGACGGGCGTACAAGGTTCCGATAAGTGGCTACCCGGACGCCCTTTTCTCCAACTTCTCTCTGTTCAACGATCTGGGATATATCACCATTCCAATGGCTCCGGAGGCTGTCGGCAAGCTGATGCGGATGATGCAGGACTATGTGTCCCAAATGCAGCTGCTGAACCGCCAGTATAAGTGGTTCAGAAACGGCCAGGACAAGGGCGACCTGGTGGGCCTGCTGGGGAAGCAGGACGAGCTGCTGAAGCTGCTTCGTGCCCTGTTTAGAGACAGCGACTCGACGTTCATAAAGGATATGCTCAAGACGCTGCTCTATCTGGATCTGTTCGTTGTTTTCGGCAAGTGGACGGTGGATCGAAAGCGCTCCAACATGATAAGGGGTATCTCAGACCTGTACGCGGGCGTAGCGGGCTCAAAAGCCCAGATCCCGACTCGTTCTCCATTGAAAGTTACTGCAGAAAAGATGGCAAATCCCCCAATTTGCTCGGCATATAAAACAGCAGATCCGGAGACCAGGACCATGGTAGCAACACCCAAGCCATCGCGAGACAACGAGCTCCTTAAGATCTTCAAAGAATATTTGGAAACCAGGAAGGCTCCGTCGGAAGACTTTATTCTGCCGTTCGGCAAAGCTCGTCTGACCCAAGTTCACGAAAGTCGCAGCAACAAGACCACCCACCGAAGAAGCGTAGAGTAATCATGAGAGGCGCCTGCTGGCGATGGCGGCTGCCCCAAACGTTTGCTACGTTTTGTGGTAGCTGCTGTTGCCATCGGCTGCCTCCTGTAGAAATGCAGTTTGTACAGTTTTGTGGTTGTCCCATCGGAATTTAGTTTAAATTTGAAATAAACTTGTGTAAAGGTGTACAAAGAGAATGCTATGGTCAAGCAAACAACTAGCTATCTAGTTCTATAGTTTTCCCCACTCATACGCCCCAACGAAATTCTCATAATTCATTTAATATCTATATAATCATCACACCAGAAAGAACCCACAAAGGACCTCCGACTCCAGCTAAACATCAGGATTGTAGAAAGAAAGACGTACGTATATGTACTTATAAACACGTAGAGTTAAGGTATAATATAAGTGTAGATCGTTGAATGGGAGAGGATCCATGGCTGCCAAAGGATTCCCATTCCTTCTTTGGACTGCGTGAGGCAACAGGTATCGGGGCTAATTTCGTTTAAATCCCAGGCCGAGTATATTCCGTGCCTGTGTGGAGGAGAAAGAAGTTGAAGAGTGAGTGAGCGTCGGAGATCGCGGAGGTCGGCGGGTTCCTCACCGTTATGAAGGCCGAGTTGAAGGAACGTTGAAACGTGTGCGTCATGCCCTCGGTCTGGGAGAGGGCCATTTGCAGCTGAACGGCCTCGTCCATGCGGTTCTTGAGGAACTCCCACGTCTGGACGTTGCCAGCGGAGGTGTCCTGCAGCAGGTACAGTTCGGTCATCTTCATGATGGTCGCCAAGCCAATGCGCCGCGTGTACCAGCCAAACTGCAAGGATAATCACTCAATCAAAACTCTTGGGATCACGATTACTCGCGCCAACTCACGTCCACGGATCGATCGCCCGAGTAGTAGCAGATGTCGTCCACCAGGGTGAGCACCTGGGCCAGCGCCGTCGACGCGTGCTGCGGTTGTGCTATCAGTGACATCGCCTGCGGCCATTGAGCTTTGTACGGCGCGATCATCTCCATACGCTGACGCACCGCCTGCACCAGGAAGTCGAGCGGATTCTCGACCTCCTGCTGGCCCTTGCTCGTCTTCTCCTTCAAGCTCTGCACCAGCTGCGCGTTGCACCTGCCGTTGAAGTGGGAGACGAGGGCAAAGCCACCTTCCGGGAACATGCCATGGACCACGCTGGGGTAGCCGCACTGCTCGGCACCGAGGACAATGGCCTGCCTTGTCCAGCCGTGCTGAGGCACATGCTCCAGGGCCGCATCGAGTATCTTGTCGCGTATGGCATCCACCTTGGCCTGCTTAGCGGTCTGCTCTGCAGACTCTTGGTGCTTGCCACCTGCTCCTCCTGCTCCCCCACTACCGGCCTCATTTTGTGTGGCTTTTGCTGCCGCCTCCTCCGCGGCATCCCGCTCCCTTTCCAGCTGTTCCTCGCGTGCCCGAAAGTCCTCCAAGCTGGTGCTGCCGGTGGTCTTGTCCGTGGCATCTTTGGCATAGCCGCGCGCCAGAGATGCAGCAGCCAGGGGCAGCTGTCTGTGCAGGGAGGCCAGGTGACAGGTCTGTGCATCTGAAAATAGAAGAAGCCACACACAGGCAGGCATGAGCCCCGAATTAAAGTCATGGACAGGACGGGCAGACACAGAGCCAGCCTCTGTGGCCAATTGATTAGCACACTCAGTAGCTCCATTTGCCATTTGCCATTTGCCGGCCAATTATCGCCCCGGAGATCCCCCAACACACCACACAGTTCGCTTGTTCGTTTCAGTTTCGGTTTCTAATCTGTTTACACATACAATTAGTTTACGCTATCATTTCGCTTTCGTTATGGACACAAATGTATAAAGTTAAGAGCCTAAACGGGTTCTGTGGCTGGGGCCGGGGTCAGGACTGGGCCCGCGTCTTGGAGGAGTTTGCGCTGGCGGGCGGTCTGCTCGATTACCTCGTTGGCGCGCACATAAATCGACAGGAGCCATTCCAGGCTGGTGATAGAGCTGGTTAGCACGTCGAGCTTCTCCTGGCGCCCGATGTCGGGCAGACTGCTGTCGCCTTCGCCGGCAATGCCGCTGTTGGTGATGTTTACGGCCAGCATTTGCAGCTGCTTCTTCATGAGGGCGTCGTCCGAGGCACTCTGGCCGTTCTCCACGCGCTCCTTGTACGCCTTGTAGTGGGCCATCGAGAAGTCCAGGGCCGTGCCCAGGGGCACCAGCAGACGCTTTTCGATCTCTGGCAGAATGTCCCAGAATCCGGTGACGTTGCGCCTGTCGCTCAAGGCAAAGTACCGCAAGATGTTGATGGCGTTGCAGATCCGATCGGCGTGCAGCAGCAAATCCGACTTAACGTCGTTGGGCAGCACGCAGACGCACAGCATCAGCATTTCCCTGAAATGCTTGCCGCGGAATTCGGATGGCATCGCGACGCCGCTCCTTATGTGGGCCATCAGGGCCTTGTCCACTAGGTCCTTGAACATGGCACTTAGGTAGCCCATCAGGCCGTCGTGCTGTAGCGTCTCCAGCAGGTTCTTAAGGATCAGGCACTTTCCCTGGTCATCGAACGCCAGTATGTAATGCCGGAGCACGTGCAGTCCCAGCTGACGCAATCCCACCTGCGGCGAGTAGCCGACAATCTTGCAGAGCTCATCGCAGAATCGCTTATGGACGTCCAGCTGCAGCGAGAAATGGGGCACCGATGCGCCGCCGCGATTGATCAGCACGTGCTCGAGGAGGCGCAGGCCGCAGTGCTGCAGCGGTGGCTCCGGCTGCCGGAGCAGCTCAACCACCAGATAGAGGCTCGACTCGAACAGGAAGAGCGGCGAATAAATCTTGGGTGTTGTTGGCGGCAACAAGTCGCGCACGAAGAGGGCGTGGTAGTACATGGCCATGGCATGCAGGGGCATCATATCCTCGATGAGGAACACGTTCTGGCCAGTCATCTCGTAGACGCCTTTTGCGGCGTTCAGTTTGCGCTCCCAGCGGGCGCGCTTCTCCACCAGGGCAAGCAGATAGAAGGGGTCGCCGCCCATGGACTTGGTGACCTCCTGGGTGAGGTTCTTTACCACCTGATGGACGTAGGTGTGGGTCAGGTCGTCCTTCACGTAGCTCATCTCGAGAAGGGCCAGTGGCTTGCCCAGAAGCTGCACTAAGAAGCAGGTGAGCGCGTTGCGGCGTGACATAGTGGAGTGGCGAAAGATGTGGGGGTCGGGACGGGGGTCCCGCTGAAGAATGTCCACGAGCAGCGGAGCCTCGAACAGGCCGACGGTGATGTAGTGGGCCAGTAGATCCTCCACCTGCTTATCCTGCTCCACGAGGCGGCCCGCAGCCTCGTCGTAGCCCTCGCTCAGATATTCCGGCAGCGGCAAATCCTTCAGGCGCGTGAACACGCTCTGCAGACACCACATCACCGCCTGAGGCTTGTCCTGGCCCTGGCGCACAAGGATTACCTGCAAAGCGCGCAGGTATGCCGCGAACACCGCGTGGCTTCTGCTCTCCTCGATCTTCTCCATTAGCTCCATCATCATCTCCTGCACCGGGGCGTGCTCGGCGAGCAGTTTCAGCAGCTCGTTGGCGCAATCGAAGAGCTCCGGCTCCCGACCATTGACCTCGTCCACCAGGTTGACCACGCAAATATCGTTGTATATGTCCATGGCGATGAGCGGCATGTGCTGTATGTTCCTGGACGCCTCGTTCGGGCTCTGGAAGAGCATTCTGACGCCGTCGTATGCCTTCTCCAGCAGAAGCTGCTTGATAAGCCTCAGCAGGTTAGCTGCCGCGGCATTTGCCTCGATAGCCGGCTCCATGTCCACGTTTAATTTTCACAAAGTTCACACAATTTTTTTTAGAGTAATACTGACAAATTTTACTACACAAATCTCTAAAAAACAATGACCCGGCGGCATCCCCCTCACACTTCTCGATCGTAAACAGCTGTTCACCGCTTCTCTTTCGTAATGGCCGAGCACTGAATTGAATGGCGCGAAATGTGGCTTTGGATGTGATAACAGGCGTGTGGCTAGGGACGGATTACTTACGAAGGGGCAGCAGGAGCTTCTGTAAACGAAATAGTTTCTGCAAACAGCGCACGTTTGCCATTTTAGCGCTTTGAAAATGTCAGAATGACTGGAAACAGTTTATTTGGTGGGGGGAGTGTTCTAAAGCACTACTACGGTATATTTGTGGCGTTAGGACGGTATATTTTACACGGTATGGCGTTCAGATGGTATATTTTGCACGACGTCCGTATTTTTCCCAATTTATCGAAACATTTTTTTTTCAAGTGTGGCGGTGAAAAATTATTTTAAAGTTTGTGTTACGAACAATTGTTCTCTTTGGGGCAAGGCCGGCTAGCCAGTCTCAGTTTATTTTAAGGTTCAAAGCAGCTTGAAAAACAGAATTTTAACTTTATTTATGGAAATAGGGTATACAAATGTCCTTATAGGCATAGCTGAACTGGTTGACCTGCAACAATACGTAACATTCCATACACACTTACGTTTTGATCCGTACACACTTACGGTTTATGTTTTGACTTTATTGGTTAAAACCTTATTTTAGAAAAAATGCAAGAAAAATAAGTACTGAGTACTAGCTAATCGTGTAGAAAATTGGTGTATAAATCGGATTAAACTATGTGTTTAGCTAGGAAGTCATAGATAGCTAGTAACTCCAAATCGAATATCAAAATCGAGGAACTTACAAACAGTATTTCTTTCCGCGGCTTAACTCAAGCTGTTCACCTGTTTAAATAGAGGGGGATAAAGTGGGCTAAGGTTTTTTTTCTATCGGTATATTTACGGTATATTTTGAAAATAGGGTTCGGAGATAAGTGCATTAGCGGAAAATGGTCTCACAAATTTTTCTGTGATGGGCCGGGGGAGAGCGTAGTTTTTGTTAAAGTAGTGCGTTTTTTGCGAACTTCGGGGAAATTGTTTAATCATAATTTTAAGTGAACTGCGTTAAGTGGAGCCGCAAGAAGCGCGCGTGCCGGTTGTACCCAAAAGTGTTCAGTGGCCAGCTCCTGGTGGCTTGGAAAAATCCGCGAATGCGGCAAACGAAAAGTGCAGAGTAAATAGAAATTCGAAAATTTGAAAATTGTTGAAATAAATATCAAACAGATAAGTTAACGTTGGCAGAAAAAGAGTTAAGCGAAACCTGGTTCTGGTTCTGGTTTGGTCTCGGTATCGTGTTCGGGAGTGCCGAGTTT